GTTTTTCGGCCATAACAGTTTTGCTATCACTCGGATCTTTTTCCGTGTGGTCTCATTTTGTAGTTCTCATAAATAAATAAAAATCTTGTATGAGAAGTTTTTTCGTTCCTGTGAACACTTTCGATTGAATCCCAAAAAACACGTTTTCTTATTCTTTCTTGTTAAATAAAAAGTTCTCCCACAAAAATTGGTATACCCCTTTGAACACCTTGCATCAATAAAACCAGACTTAACAATTATTTCAGGAAAATTTCCTAATATGACCAGACTATATGCCGGGTGGACTCTAAGAAGGCTTATTTCGCTCAATCAGCAAGTCGGATTTCTTATACCTACCGAAAATTATAATCACGGGCTAAATACAAATTTATTCATAAAAAATCTGTACATGATTAGAATCTTTAAAGCAACATCTTTTTAATTATCATTCTCATGATAGCTGGTGTTTTTTATATAGCTATTATTCGCCCAAGTATCCTAACCGGGGTTGTTGGGAATCTTCTAACACTATATTAACAGGCTTCGCTCCATGATGCCGCCAAGCGTCGAGCCTGACAGTCAGAGCTGTGTCGAATTTCCTACATTCAGAACTGGGCGATACGACCGCTTCTTTGTGCCTAGGATCTCGAGATTGTGGAACAATCTGCCTGAGGAGGCTTTTCTCACTTCTGCTAACCTCGCGCAGTTCAAAAATTGGATTAACAAAGTGACTTTAAGCTCCTTATAGTAGCCGCAGTGCCCCGGTATTTAAGCGCGGTACACGGCTGCTTGGGCATAAAAGAAATAAAATAAAATTGTTGGCTATTCAATCTGAGATGGCAGAATAATACTCACAACAGTCGGATGGTGCAAAGAACTATGACTCAAGCCTTAAGAATATCGATTTTTTTATTTCACATAACAATGCACGCTATATTGATCAGTACTTATACACGACTACTTACAACAAAGAGTTGCCTGTTCTTAAAATCTTAGTATACCTCATACTAACCTCAGTTACACCATGTCAAAACAAACATTAACACCTGATCGCCGCTTCCATTCGCCTGCTGCTCTACTTGCTCAAGCATTTTGGCCCGTATACATTTGACAGTGTCCTAGTAACACAGATAGGCAGCAACAGTAGGTGTATCCATCAAATCTGATTCATTTCTCTGCGAGTATAGAACATTTTTGTGCTTATCAATTACCATGCTAAGTTTACTTAAGATTTTGACATTGCACTTCGGAAAGCGTACATAAATCATAAAACGTATATCACTTGCACTTGTCAAGGTGTAAATTGGCCTATACCAATGTTTCTCTCGAAATGGTAATGGTACATCAAATAGCAAATGACATGGTATTTTTAGATAGGTGATTCCAAATATTCAAAAATCTTTTTGACATATTAGGGTGACATAAAAAGATTATCACATGATTTCTAATAAAGCCTCCGATACAAATTTTTATAAGAGCTCAAACCATCGCTTTCGTACATACTGGTGATGTAACCAATATTCGCATTCGCGAATATTCGCATGTTCTTGGATATTTGCATTCGCTTGAATATCAGTAAAAGAGAACATACAAATGATATTACGTGCTTGAATAAAACAAGAAACATCAGTTAATTTTTTGCAAGAAAAACATTTTATAATAGACCAAAAAAACTTGATTAATGATAATAATAATAAATGGCCTTTATTCGTCACATGATTACAAAATAATTGGCTTAAGAGGAATAGTGACGAAAAGCTTATGCTGTTTTTCAACCCGATCTAAAAAAACATTGACACAAACTATAAAGAGAAAAAAAATTCCTACATTTAAATGGAACAGTTCACAACATTGACCACCAAAAAGAGAAAATCTTAAAATATTACACAAAAAGGAAACAATCAATTACCTGTGGATATGCGTAAAGTTAAATTCTTGTCATCCGATTGCTTTAAACTCATCTTTAACCTTTTTTTAAAATTGCTTAGGCTATATTCTTTATGCTCACTTGTCAAGCACATTTTTTTCTTGATATTATAAACATTCAAGATATTTCTGAGTAGAAACTTTTGTTTGTTTTGTTAGCGAAGTAAGACAGTCCAAACAGCGATCAGTGAATGCTTGGCGCACTTCAACACAGAATATGGAAAAAATGAAATTTTTCTAATTTATCATGGAGGTACATTCCAGACTACGAATTATTATAATTTGCTGACATGGATCGTCGCAAAAATATAATTTTAAGCAAAGTTAGAAATCTCACAATTTGAATTCTGTGGATTTTGTACGTAAACAAAATGAAGTTAACCTAACCCTGCGATTGTGGATAAATATTACTCAGATGAGGTTAAACTGAGTTTTGGTAAAAAGGACGTGTAATAAACTGATCAAATTGGAGTGAGATTGTTGGTAAAACGAATGCAACTGTAATTATGGAATAGCAACATCAAACAAACAAAAACATTCATTTTTACTTTTATCAATCTTTGATTATGAATGTTTTACAAATAAAAAATACAAATAGAGATTACAGTTCTTTTCTTAAACTCGTTCTGAAAAATACATGCTTTTGACAAACTAGATGCTGAAACTGATCCAGAAGAATAACAAACTTCTATGGCTTAGCAGTCTTCTCTCCTCCAAGTATGTTTTGATAAGGTGAATAGATGACAAGCTCAATATTTGCCCTTTCGCATTCGTAGCAGTAGATATTCGCATTCGCATATATACAACCAAAGGTATATGATGCCGTTTCATCCTTGCTAAGAAGAATAAGTACGAGGACGAGACCAGTATTTCAGAGCGGCCCTTATCAAAGCTCAGCTCAGAAAAAAGCTAAGCCTAAGTTCGTTCGATCTGAAAACGCAAGCTGTGTTAATTTGCTTACTTGCCAATTATTGACTAGTTGAAAGCTTTTCGATAGAACGCAAGCTACTTATCTGAACTTATTAGACGCATAATAAAACCATTCGTGCTGAAAATGATATATCACATTTACTTGTACTATTTTAAGAGAAAATGTATTTTTTCTGTAGACTGTATTGTTGTAAAACCTTAGCAAGCACACTATACGACAGGCACAGCGTCAAAGTCTCTATCAACCAGCAACTAACAGCATTCATGTCTGGACTGACTGGTATCTATCGGACCATCTGTTCCCTATATGCCCGCTAAATCCCTTTAACGTGGTAGTATGGGCTCAGTTGACCTTCCTTGGGATTCCCCCGGTCGAAAACAACAACCTGCCGGCACCCACCCGACGATTCGGTCGCGTGCCGCCCGTCAAACACCCGCATAACCCCTGCGAAAACAACCACGGACCGAGACCGACTGGATGCGGTGTTGCCAAGCGTGCGCAGAGAAAATCGGCAGGCGGTAGCGAACGATATACGAACTAGGGTCGAGCGATAAGTTGTATTGAATTATGAAAGTATTTCTCCATTCTCTTGTAAACTCAGTAGAAAAGCTGCTAGTTCAATATGTATTTTATTGAATTAAAAAAATCTGCCCACTGACGGCTTTTCCCAAAGACCGCTGACAAACTTCTGCCGCCTTGGTATGCTAGAGGCTGTTCTCACCTAAAGATAGCCAGCCATATACTGTACTTCGGCGTCCAATAGAGTATCTAAAAGCATCGCCATCTGTGAGACAGTAGAAGAACGCAAAATTTAATTTAGAAATCCACATCTTTCAGATTCCGTTTTGACGCCGGAGTAAGGTTGGCTATCTTCAGATAGAATACGTTCATCAAAGCCGAAAGCAACAGCTGGCACTGCCATCGCTGTAGATGAAAGATGACATATGTGGATTTCATTATGACACCTCAGCTAACGTTTTGATAGTATCCTCAAAAATCCTAGATAATCCGATAAAAGTACTCCTTTATCATTCCGTGTTCTTTGACGTGATTCAGTTGGAGCAGCAGAGCTGAAAACCTAAGAGACCTGCAGTTGATACAGAAAAATATATTAGAGGTGTTGCTTTGCCATTCTTCCACATTGTTTGTCTTATGTTTTGGGGGTTTCTGACAAATAAAAGAATGCCACACAGGTTAATTCATTGATATGTCTAGATTTTATTTGAGAGGGACGCATGGTCAGAACTAGAGAAAGTTTGTAGTGGAGAACACACTTATGCCTTCGGTGAGGACAGTGCTTTGTAAAATATAACTAGGAGTGAGCCTACCCTACGGTCTTAGGGGAGTCATGATGCAAGAAATACAATCATTTCTGCTCTGACTTCATTCACACATTTGGAACTGTGATGGGCATGACTGAATACATATAGAGGAAAAATAAAAAGGGCGCTTAGAAATTGATAGAGCCTTCGATGCGGCGGTGCTCAATTTCATACACTCCAATTCACCTAAAAAGAACGTTTCTTAGAGCTCTTCGTTTAGGCCCCACGAGGGGCCAGCTACGGACACTATTTGAACAAAAAGATATCCTCCGTTCGTTCTTTAAAATTTCCTTGGAAATCCTTGGGTCCTCTCACACTTTTTTGGGTTCGTTTAGCTTATTTATATCTATAAGTTTGTTCTATTACTACTGAAAAGTCGGTAGAACCTTGGGATGCAACAGCGACAGAAACGTGCCACGGGTATGTGCAAATGTACATATTACTTTACATTTTTTGAATTACCGTGGATCTCCCTTGACTTTGGCCTCCTTGCAATGCCTCGTATATCATTAGGATATAAAATTTCCTTGTACTGCCTTGGGTCAGTTTCCGCCTCACTGAATTGGTCGAACTTCCTTGGATCTCTTTGGATTGCCTCACACCAATCTATCAACAATTGAGGGCCCCCAAAGATGCGCTAGTTAACCTCTATGAACCCACAGACTACAGACAAGAACACCTTTGTCCGTTGCAGAATAACATTCAAATGAGTCAAGAATTAACCTCCCCGTGAAAAATTTCAGTCTATTCCATCAATTCTGACGTTAATATTAGTATCCCTCCGAAAGAACTGCGTCCTCAAACGCCGGCCCCAAGCTAAGGTCCAGAATCTGCCGACTTACCCTAAGCGCTGGCAGCGCTGCGGCACGCTCTCCGCCGTCGGCGTTCGCCGGCAGCCCGCCCTCATTACGTCACCGTGACGTCACGCCCTCCCTACCGTCCCCCCTCCCGGCGCGTATGGAGGGGCGGCGGCCGCCATTGGCCCGCGCTGCCTTCCTAATATGGCTCACACCGTTTCATTCATAAAACCTTTGCTCGTGGTCAGCGTCAACTCAGTCCCACGCGAGCGACTGTGGCACGCGTCCTCTTCGTACAGTCCTCGCTGTATCCGCACGCAGTGCGCATCTCTGCTCTCTCTCGCCCAGTTTGAACTATGGTATTTCGCACGGTCATCTACGTCGCGATAACGCCGACGCACCTCTGCGATGTGAGTTTCTAAGCAGTTTTTGTGGTTCCCAGCCGCTTTCGGAGGATATGTGTGAAGTTATAGTGATAGTGCTCTGAGATTGGATTGCATTTCAAACATATGTTGCAGTAAGCGGTTATATTCTAACCACTGCTAGGGTTGCCAACTATCATGATCCAACCGTCTATGCGGCTCGAAGGACCAAACAGTATTGTTCCTTTGAAGTTGGATAAACCTATAGTGTTGCTAAACTACTTGGACTTTTGATATCCACATATATCAAGCTAGATTGTCGTCCCATCCGTTAAGGACAAACGGTTACTTAGGTACCGTAAGGATAATATCTTCTTGAGGTTAGGCTTTATCGTCCTTTTCTTCATATATTTTGTCCAAATGATGATTCAGTTACGTTACGTCAATCAATATTTTATCACTCAAGCGTTGCATCTAGTGTTCCTGTTATTTACATTTTATCCAAATGATAATTAAGCTACAGTTGCATCACCTCAATCAATGTTTTCTGTATATCACGCAAACTTTATAGGTATACTCGAATAATGATCCTTGTAAACCTTATCCATCTAATATAATGATGAGGCTTCCTTGAGAACATCTTTTAGCCTCTTTTTCTGTATATTTTTTATCCGAATGATAATTCACTTACAGCTGCATTGCCTCAATAAATATTTTCTATGTATCACTCAATCTTCGTATCTAGTGATCCTTGTGAAGCTGATTCATGTACCTACTATAACGCTGAGAATTCTTTGGGGTTATCTGCGGTATCCTCTTTTTCTAGGTATTTCTTATCTAAATGGTAATTTATCTACAGTTGCATTACTATACTATAGATCACTCAAGCTTCCAAACAAAAACATGTGATCCTTCACTTAACTATAAATCTTCCTTAAAGTATCCTTAATCAGATGGAGATTTAACTTGCATTATCTTGAACAATATTTTCTTTATATCGTTTTAACCTCTCAAAAGCTTCATCATTGATATTTTCGTAATGTGACTTAAGGATGCCTTCATTGCAACCAGCAATGCCTTCAAAGGATAATGCCTCCTTCAGATTTTCTTGAATAAAGAATTCAAAACATTTTTCTAAGTTTATGTTGATACTTCCCTGTTCTTAAATCCGTTAATTGATTGAGAAAACCCGTATGAAACGTCAAAATAAGTGGATTAAAAACATGGCTATTAAACTAAAACACTTCAGCTTCGTTCATTCTTATGAATGTTTACATCAATGCTCCTAAGGATTTGGAAGGTGTCAAGAGGCGCTTAGAAACTTTAAAATGTACTGACAGCTATTTAAGAATGGATTCACACAGATCGAAATAGATTCTGATGCATGTTTCAAGTGTGGCGATATATCGATATTTTCTTGTTGGTACATATCTTTGCTTTTTAAACCTTTGACAATATTTGTCGGTGAAGCTTTCCTATGAAAGTTATCGCTCAGACTAAATATCGTAGGTACTTCAATTACTGCAATGCTATAACGTATTTCACTTCGAATCTAGAAGTTGGCAACCCTAAGTAGTCTCGTAGATATGGCTGGATTAATATGATTACGAGCTTCTGAGTCATTTTTAGAATACAAGTCATCGAAACTAGCGATCGATTTAAAGAGAAGTACTTCCTCAAATGGTTTAGTTGTTATTTCAATGTGACCTTTATTCAGAATAAATTCAATTAAGGTGCTCAACAATCTTCCACCGTTGATACAGATGTTTCATGTCTTAAAATTCCTGGAACTGCTCAAGCTAGCTTCAATAAATAATCTCTTTCGGATAACTACGGTTCTACTATTCCTGCTAAATTCATACGTTTCTATTATACATCTGATTTACAGCAACATATTTCTGTGACCAGATTTAATGGTTTCTCCGAACCATATTAAAAGTAGATGGAAGTTTTCAATGAATTCAGAAACTTTATGAATCTCCTAAGTGAGAAGGATAATCTAGCAGTTATTCCGTAGGTTTTCAAACATTATGAAGGTTACTGTTAAAAAATACAAATTGAGCTTCTTGTTACTACAAGTAGTAATGTGTTCATTCCAGTCGATTAGTTTGCAATAATTCATAACTATAAAAACTTGGTTTCTGTTTGGATATTTTTGGTCGATTCTCTGGTTCAATCAAAGCTTGTGTTTTAATAAAAACCATCTCAGAGCATTACCATTTCTCCGAGAAAACAAAGCAGTTGGGCATTACTATCTTACAAATGGCTAGTGATATGCAGTCTACCAGTATCTGATACTTTCGGTAGAATTATTCTAAACTATAGAATGTCTTTTGATTGTGATAAATACATAGCATTTATTGTCACCGATACAGTTATATTTTTGTTCAACAAAAACGGCATATCACTATCCCTAAAAACGTTAGCACCTATGATGTCCAAATGTATCTTGACGACATTGACATACATGTCCTTCGGGTATCAATAGATAATTACTCATTCGCCGGTAAAACTCGAAAATAAAGCTGACCATGAACGTCGGTGTGATTTTTCATCAATTATTAAGGTCAATTTGCATGAAATTACAAAGTCCGCTGGGTTATACAGATGCGTTAAGGGCTGTCTACGCAGCGCTTAAAGCACATGCCTGTTATTTATACAGTTTCGAACCAGGTTCTGGCATGTGACAACGGTTTGAAAGATTTACCAAAAGACTCACTAGTGCCTTGTTGAGGACCAAGCTCGTTCTAATTATGTCCATCTTGTATCATTTTGTTCCAAAATGCTGGATCCTAGATAGCATAGCACCTCACAGTGAGACAGGCTTATGACTAGTTCTCTTGTCTATCGGAACGAGATGTATTTTTGTAAACCGATGTTCACCAAGAAAATCCATATACCAACAGATTGAGGTTGGACCTCCCCAAAACTTTTCTGCAAGGCTACAGTTGCTATTGAACATTTACATAATTTCCAATCCAATAGAAAGTCAGTTGACATACTGGTTACTCAAGTTTAGTATATCGTGCACATGGCAACAAGATGGACCTCTCCTGGTTTCTCTATACAAAATTGCTGATATGCAGTCGTTTGCCAGACAAGAACTAAAATAACCTAATTTAAAGAAATTTTACATAATTTCCATTGATTGGAATTTGTGCACAAGCAGTGAGGTTATTTATACATTTATGTAGATTCATGACAAGTTCCTTGGTCGGATACTTACATAACATGGGCATTAAATAGTTTAAGTCAACTGGGCAACGAGTTGGACCCACCTCTACAACTCCCTTCATAGGCAAAGTTGCAGACATTTACACAATTTCCAACAATTGGAAATTGTGTACAAGCAGTGGGGTTATCTGCACATTTATGTAGACTCATGACAAGTTCCTTGGTAGGATACTTACATATCATGGACATTGGCTTTTACTGTAAGTCAACTAGGCAACGAGTTGGACCCACCTCTACAACTTTCCCTTCATAGACAAAGTTGCTCACATTTACACAATCACAAAAAGTGATGTAGTACTTACTGTAGTCAGTATCATTAGAATATACTTCAGTCCATCAGTGTTAGTGGATTTCTACGTAACCTTATGTAGATCGATAATTGCGGAGGTCATGGCTAAGCGGTCGATAAGGATCTCACTCTATGGTAGATATCCACGGTTAGATTGAATACTGATCGTGTGACATTCGCCTAAGATCCACTTGGCAACGGCTTGGACCTTTCCAATCTTCCATACATATTCCGAGTTGGTGACATTCTATCTATCGATTCCCAGAGCCCTCGCATGAAGGTCAGGGGTATCTGCTGCCGGAGGCCGCCGGCTAGATGTCACTGATTCAGTTATTGATTTGCGCGGCCATAGAAGTGCCACATTTTGTTTTTCACTAGATTTCTCAATGTGTGTTCACGTTGAAACTCGAAGCCTGGAATGTGCACCAACGCGATAGTCTAAAGTCCACATAAAACCCTAGATGTTATGTACAGTTTAAAATAATTCTATTAGTTGATAAGTCTGAAGCTGGCCTTAAACTTTGAAGCTCCCCTAACCTTCTAACTCGAAAACATGGTTTACACCCCACATTCTAGAAACGTCTTCAGCTACGATCACATTCACTGGAGTTGTGAGGGAATGGAGATTGTTTATGTTTTCAAGTATTTCAAATATGCTCAGTGACAAAGATAATAAAACACCCAGTAAAAATGGTTTTATTTGGATTTGTTTACAATTAGTTATGGGCAAGAGGGAACAATGCTTAAATTCTGATGTGAAAACATTTGTTGTGCCGCTAACTTCCCAAATAATGTGCACTAGAATGCCGGAACGTGATCCAGATGAGGTGATTTATGTTTTCTTGTGATATCTCATCCCAAACTGGCTATACTTGCTTCCGAAAAGCTGATGTGGAGGTAGGAAGAGCAGTCGTGAGGATGACGTAAAGAGGTCACTTTTCTTCCTATCATATCTCACACAGGCTCACTGGGCGAAAGGCCTCGAGATCTAGTAGGCCAAGAAAGCAGACTAACTTGAGCGTTATTGATGTAGTCCATTGTAGCTCTATCAATATGGGGACGGTAAGTCAACCGTTTGGAGGAATGGCAAACCATAACTGATACATGGTGCACGTAGTGTTCAACTGAAAACTTTACATTGAGTCTTCCCCCGCGACGCCTTCTGGTTCATGCCCGTCCATAATGCATTCTTAAATAGAACGAAAATCATATCTAAAAGCAATCTTATACATGCGTGATGGACGGACACGAGTCAGGAGCTGTTTGGGAGAGAGAAATGAAGTAAAGACTGCACTAAATTGTAAGTAGGAATCATGATTTGAGGTGCTATTTCATATGGTGCTAAATCACTTCTAGAGCAGATATGACCGCATACCGGTATATCAAAGAAATATTAGTACCTCATCTTTTACCATTTCTCCAAACGTTTCAGGATGCTATTTTCCAACAAGATAATGCCCGTCTCCATATTGCTAGAGCTACAATAACGCTTGGGTTAGCCCACTTCCTTGCCCTCCTCGATCTACAGACCTTTCGCTCGTTGACGACGTGTGGGATATCCTCCACAAAAGCTAGCAGTTCTTCGAAACCAAGCACAGGTAGCTTGGTGTCAGATGCCACAAGAAAACGTAAATCAGAAGCATACCCGACGCGACGAGTGGGAGAATATATGCGACATCAGGAGGCCCAACACAATTAGTAGCGAAAATCTAGCAATGGCGTAAATACAAATGAAATCTTGTACTGCGTGTCAATGAATATATCTAGAGCATAAAACCTGCATAATGACAGAGATAGTGCAAAGTTCTCCCCTATTCTACTTCAAAAGGTCTTCCCTTCAATAGAAGTTAACCAAGTTTTTTGCCTATAGTTTACGGTAAATGTCGTCAAGATACAAAGCGCCGTCTTAGCCGTCGCTAACGCGCCTACCTCTTTCCAGTTCACCACCTAAGAATGTCCCATCAGAGTAGGAGCAATCACAAACGTTAATCGTGACCGTCGTGTACAAAGACATTGTCCGAATTCGCGCGAACAGTGGACAAAAAAACCGGTGGCAAGATGATCATGGACACTCTGGACTCGCTGCCCAATCAGCACCATCACCATCATCATCATCACCACGCGACCGCGTATCTGCTCACCGAGAGCGCGGCTGCCGCGGCAGCTGCACACCACTTCAACGTGATCAGCTTCGACACCTGTCTGTACAAGACCGAGGGCTCCATCAGCGGAGGTAGTCCCACACCAGCCAGTGTGTGCAGCCCTGCTGACGATCCTTCGCCTTCAGAAGCTCAACCAGGAGATCTCAACACCCCGGTCACCACCTCCAGTGATATCCCCAGTTTTTTCGGACCCAGCACTGTTATTGAACCTCCACCAATTACAGGTTGGTTTCAGAATCAGCTAATATAACTGCGCTGTACATAATAAGAGCATAGGAGTGTAGTCTTAGCTGGCTAGTTAGGATACAAAGTGCATGTTCTCGAGGGTACAGCCACAATGCTAGAAGCTCAAGCCGGAAAAAAAATGTGCTCTTTGTTTATGTCGATTTTTCGAACATGTTCATTTCATTACAATATCTTTGAACAAATTAGTTACAACGTTGAAGTCCTCTTTCGAGACAAGCAATCCAGAAATGGAGAAAAACCATTCAATAATGTACAACCGCAATAATGCACAGGTCACAAATTAAAATATTTGTTCAATATGAACTTCATGAGTGAAAACCTTCAAAAATTATGTTATATTCATAAATATTTGGTGTAAGAATATAAGAATCTGAGTTAAAAATCGTCTGGTTCACTTAACCTTCACACAATTTCCAAACATTGGAAATTGTTACTGTAACACGTGAAACTGATCATGTAGTGATCATGCTTATAACATGGTGGCCTTTTTTGCGTTTTGCGTATGTTACGATCCTGAACCACACCGAGATCATACTAATCCATTGTTTTAAGACGGAATTCCATAAAACCAGTAAATAGCAGATCCGCCTAGGATTTGAATTCCCGCTTCCCAAAGACGTCCAGCTTCCCTAGCGACAAGCGAGCATGAGCTGTTGTTTTGGATTAACCAGACACGTCAGCTTCGCTCATCGTCCCAAAAATGCCAGGCGCCCACCGAGAACGCGAAAGCGCACCTAGGAATCATGGGCGGAGTTAGAAAAAGTTTGACAAGAGAATACTTATTGCAAGTTTCCTTTAAACAATTAAACATATTCGTAAATTGAAAATTGAAGAGCTGGGCTGGTGGCTGCATGCTTAAGCAGCAGAAGCATAGCGATAAACCAATGACTGCCGTGCCGATGCAGATGTAGTCGAAGATTCCATAATAGTCACCCGCTATGTTTCGATAACAATTCGGTCGGTTTTTGTACTCTCGGGGGGCTTTTGACGTTTTCAGGACGATGAGCCAGGGTAACATGTTTGGTAAAAAAACAAATACCGTCATGTTCGCTTTGAGGAAGAGGGCTGGACATGTTTTAGGAGAGGGAATGTCTTACCATGTTATCCTGGACCTAGCTGGTTTTACGCGGCGCCGTCTTAAAATTGTAATAATGGCGTCCAGCGATCCCGACGTGGTGAGACCGTGCAACATATTTTCGTAACACTGTATAGTAGCGAAGAAAATAAAAAACAAATGAACTATAATAATGTCAGATATAAAATATCAGGTAACCAAATAAGTTCGTGCGGTTTTTAGTAGAAAAATATAACTTTTTATTGAGAAACAATAAGACACTATTTATTCGTCGAAGTAATTACCATCACATTCAATGACCTTTTGCCAACGTGGAACCAATTTTTGTATGCCGGTATTATAGGACTCCCTGGAGTCAAAAAATTGGCGGACTGCATTTATTACACCACCTCGAGTTCTGAACTGTCCGTGCCTAATACAGTTGTCAAGAGACAAAAAAGGTGATAATCACTGGGCGAAATTTCAGGAGAATATGGCGGGTGGCATTTTAACACTATGGTATAGGATTCGGCACCAGCCTTAATTTTATTGGTCAATTTCAATTTATTTCACCAATTACCAGCTGGGTGCCGAAATCACTACCGGAATGTTAAACAGTGCTCAAAACAGTGTCAGAATGTTATCAATTTAAACTGCTTCTACTAATATATATATATATATATATATATATATATATATATATATATATATTTGGCAAAACTTTTAGGCTTAAGTTGACTCTTTTGACGATAAAATCAAGCTTTCGGCAATCTCTATGGAGCCATCATCAGGATTCTGAAAACACAATTGTGATGCTAGCAAAGAAGACAGATTTAAAATGTCACACAACTTACTCGTCGGTGAGGTTGCAGCCACAAGGTGTTTCAGAAAGAACGTAGAGAAGATCGGACTTGTGTTCAGTATAAAAACAAAAGGACTGGGACATTGGGCTTGTTGAAAAACGACAGATACCTTCGTTAAAAGTTGTGGCTGCAACCTCACCGACGAGTAAGTTGTCTGACATTTTAAATCTGTCCCGTTTTCTTTGCTAGCATCACAATTGTGTTTTCAGAATACTGATGATGGCTCCATAGAGAATGCCGAAAGCTTGATTTAATCGTCAAAAGAGTCAACTTAACCCTAAAAGTTTTGCCAATTTCCCAATTAACAAGTAATTGTATTTTGTACCCAACTAGTCGTTGGCTTTGGCAATGACTACTGCTCATATATATATATATATAAATATAAGGCGTGGTCATTGTCGTCTAGACCAGTTAGGTGAAAAATTAAAGCTTCCGCCTTTTGTTGGGTACTTCGACAAAATTTAAGCAAGGAGGACTCTTTATACTTTTTTTATTCTCTCTAGCTTTCAATGGTCTTTGCCATCATCATCAGGAGAGTAGTATGTGAGGATGTTGCTAATTGTTGTTTACGTTAAGGATGAGGGAACCACCCAGTAACATGGTGAAAGCTGGATAAATGGTACAATGGTCAAAATTATATAAAATACACACAGCTGTATGACAAGAACAAGTTAAAAACAGATTAAAACATTTTTTAGAAATTGCCCACCATTTTGTGCAATCAACAAGTGGCTTCACCATGTAATGTTTAACTTTCAATTTCTAAAAAAAATTTTTATCTGTTTTTAACTTGTTCTTGTCATACAGCTGTGTGTATTTTATATAATTTTGACCATTGTACCATTTATCCAGCTTTCACCATGTTACTGGGTGTTTTCCTCATCCTTAATGTAAACAACAATTAATAACATCCTCACATACTACTCTCCTGATGATGATGGCAAAGACCATTGAAAGCTAGAGAGAATAAAAAAAGTATAAAGAGTCCTCCTTGCTTAAATTTTGTCGAAGTACCCAACAAAAGGCGGAAGCTTTAATTTTTCACCTATATAAATATATATAAATTTTTCATGTAATTTTTCTTATTGCTAAACCAAATTATTAATTTTAAAATCATTAAATATCGTAATAGGAAACAACGTGCGTTGATTATTATCTTACATATTTTTAGCGGAAGGTAAGTAAATTTAAATTTAAATTGATAACATTCTGACCTCATGCTCAACACTGTTTAACATTCCGGTAGTGATTTCGGCACCCGGCTTGTTATTGGTTGAATAAATTGAAATTGACCAATAAAATTAAGGCTGGTGCCGAATCCTATACCATAGTGTTAAAATGCTGGCGGGTGCGGTAACGTTTCCTAGCCGAGTTCAAAAATGTTTTCTCGGGTCACTTTTGCTGTTTGAGGCTTGGCGTTAGCCTGCAACAAACGCTTAGATCTCGAATACAAGATCCATTTTTCGTCGCAGGTTAATAACCGATTAAGAAATGGTTCATTAGCGTTGCGTGAAATGTTTGCTGAACAAATGGTAAGACGACTTAATGTGTTATCATTTGTGACTTCATGTGCTAACTTTCACGTCTATCCTATCTGATGAAGATAGAAACGAATAGTTTTAGGACATTTCTGCAAGTTCTTGGCACGTTTTCCTGGAATTTGCGTCCACAACCTGTTGATTTTTCTCCCTGAGCGCGGTTCATCGCTCAAACTGAGATCTCCCGAAGAAAATGTTTGAACCACTTCTGTGCTATTCGATCACTAACGACATCATCTCCGAATGCGGTACATTATCTTTCGCGCCGCCGCTGCAGCTATTGTACTCCTACAGTAAACAACTTCGAATTACTGTCTTATTCATCGCCATTTTCAATTATTAAAACTAGGTATGTGACAATTTTCAGCAACTTTTTATATGAGTGAGAAAAGAAGGATTCATACTAAAGTGACAACAGGTAACAAACAATCGCTATCGATCAACAACATCTATGGCGTACGATATACAGCAACCGCACGAACTTATTTGGTTACCTGATATATGGTCATTGTTATTAACTTGTATTTTGAAAAGGTGCACCGTAATGGCCGAAACGCCAGTAAAAAGTAATTTATACATATGTGGTTTCGTTTGGCTAGAAAATTATGACGTTCTAAATATACTAATTCAACATCCAAAACTTATATTCAGGTACTTATTCACTCACAGTTCCTCAGTTTAAAAAAATAGCGTAACCAGGAACATACTCGTCATACTAATCGTCAAGAATCCTATTATGAACGTTCATAAAACATAAATAATCGGTATGGAATAATGTCAGGATCAGATTGCCAGATTTCAAAGTCTAGCAAAAGGAATGCAATCCGTCAGTGTCCGTGAAAATATAAGGCGTGTAACATAATATTTGGTCGTTTAGAATGGCGCGCGAGAGAGTTCAATCAATACAGACATAACATTATGACGAAAAAGTTATTTTTACCTCTCGCGAACCGTGCAACTTCTCTACACAGTCGTTAAATTTAGAAACTGCACCTGTTGTCGTGTAGCAACAACGAATGCTAGAGCAGAATACCGTTTCCGCTGTCCCGAATTGAACATGCTCTAAATTGACTATAGTTTTTGACCGCAGATTATATTAATACACTACAGATACACTTGTGTACCTTTCAAAACCACATGTAGCAGCACCATCTGAAGAAAGAGATCTTAAAGGAATAATTTTTATTTACAGAAAACGGCACTATTCAACCACACCAGCGCCCTCTATTATTAGTACTCTTGTTGCTTTTGCTTAAAAATACTTGAGTTTTACGTAAAAGACTTTTTTGGTTATTCTGAAAATATGATTTTCCAATCTGAAATGCGGTGAAAAACCTCGCTTTAAATTAAAAAAAATACTGGGATAACATGTAAAAATTCCTAGTTTTCTATTAAAATTTAATTCTCTGCCATTAAACTATACACATGTACAATCGATTTCATGTTACATGATGCTTTATAACTCATTATTATCGTTTGAACATTGCTATTTGAGCTGAGGACATTCAACGTTCTCTTCCAAT